TCCTACGCTCCTTTTCTGTTGAAAAGTCTCACGCGTGCCTCATCATTGTATTAATGATGGCCCTGCTCTAAGCGAGGGACTTTGATGCCGCTTGCCCATGCCAGCATGCAGAGTAGCACAAAAGCTGCAATGGTTCAGGAAATCATCAGGGCGGCAGTGCGATGGCTTGGAGAAATAAAACCGGTTGTATGGCATGGGTGCCATACGCATGTCTGTGGACAATCACAACTGGAGAAAACGCATCTGACTTTGGTGTTTTTTTTTTTTTGCGACTCATTTGGTCGTTTTTTTTTTTGATAGCTCTGCCTAAGGGTACACTTCGGGGATTCCGAAGGGCATGCAAAAAAGTCTGGGGGGATAAGCCAGCCGGGTAGCTGGGTGCATCTAGGGGAACTGGAAATGGCTATGCAATGAACGGCTCCTCAAAACTGAACTGCAATCGGTCGAATGGCGGCACATGGTGAAACGTAATGAAGGTGAAACAGTCTAGTCTCTCATGCGGAAGCAACAGCGTAGTTCCTTTTTTTTTGGGGGGGGGGGCTTCTTGTTGAGTGGGCTGTACGCCTCTTGGCCCCCTTTTTTTTTTAATACACTGGGGGTCCACCTGGGGGTTGCCCAGGCAAGAGGGATAAGCCAGCCTGGGGGCTGGGTGCATGTAAAGAAACATCAGGGTCCTGGCATTGCGGAGAAAGTCAGCAGGAAAGAAATGGCTCCGATGGTGGTGGGCAAAATGCCTGCAAGGACCAGGGTCTGCAAAATTAAGACTGCGTGCAACGTGGCCAGGTTGCAATATGCGATTGCATGTTGTGTCCAAAATGGCAGAGGCAACCGACAGTATGGGGCAAAATGCCACGCATAGGTGCAACTAAACCCAGGCTGCCACAGCCGAACTTTGTCGGGGTGTCATGGTGTTGACATGGTGAGACGTCCTAGGTTTTTTTTTTTTTTGGGGCTTCTTGTTGTGTGGGCATTACGCCTCTTGGCCCTCTCTCTCTTTTTTTTTTCTACATTGGGTACACTCCGGGTTTCGGAGGGCCTGCAAAGGGTCCTCTGTCCTGGGAGACAGGTCATGGGGTGTCCACAAATTGGACGATGCATCAGGAGGTCTGGAATCACTCACTCAAACTGTCGCAGGAGGGCATTCAGATTCTGTGGTTTGATTTCAGCAGGCTGCACATGAGCATGTGTTCTGGCAAGTTGATGCAACGCAAGGTCATCCAGTGCACAGAGCCATATGCACATAACATTTTGTGAGAACCAGCGCGGTTCACTCCAACATGTGGTTGGTGGGGCATTGTCATCCGTGAGCAATGTCATGACTGGCTGACTGGCAGTACTGTAGTCAGCTTGTGTGCATAAAATCGCACGACAGTGTCCAGCCTGGTCATCACCTAAGTGCGCAATTGCAGCCACCATTCTGAAGTCATGCCATTCAATATCCATTTGATTGCTGCAAAAGAAGGGCAGTGCAAAGACCCCATGCATTCCAATTGAGAGATCAGACTTGTAGGTGTCGCCGTTCCCTGCAAGTACATGTCGATCAATGTGCAAGCATATAACCGAGCTCTGTTGAAGCAATGCCGTGTGCATGCCCATGTAATGATGCCATGTGTTGATCATGGTATCAAGTCTGATCCATCCGTTGTGTGCCTGTTCTGGGTCAATGTAAAGGGTGATGGGATTGAAACGATCACTTTTGTCGCGAACGCTGAAGTCTCGTCCGATCTGAACCCTTCTCTCCCAGGACCAGTTGATCCTCGGAAGCTCAAGCCCCGTGACTATGTGAGTCAGAAATTCCACAGGGTCACATTGTTCACCTTCCGTGGGCCAAGAGTTGAGGAGTTGATTGAACCACATGACATCAGGCAAATGGATGGGAGTGTCACTTGCTGTTTGCAGGAAATGAACAATGCGAGCACTTTGTGGCCCCAAATCAGAAATTGAAAAAGAACGACATGTCAGCACTGTCCACATTAACGTCAGCACGGCAGTATTGGCATAACACCAGTTGTTCAAATTGATCAGTGTCATCGCTTCAAAGCAATTGCGCAGGGTGGACGTGTCATTCATCCGTGGATGGTCTTGCCTTTGCCATTGGACTTGCTGTGAAGATGATTGGTCTTCCCTTTGCCCTTCCCCAGCATCTGCTGCAGTTGTTGACACTGTTTGCTTTGAGTCTGTGTGTGAGGTTTCATCGTTGCACCGATGAGTCCCCAAACCGTGCATCCTTGTAGGACTTCCATGAGACTCTGAATCTCGTCGTGGCGCAGTCCCGTCTGAAGAATCCAGGGGACTGTCTGCTGTCCGTCCATCTGTTTCAACGAGTGGAATTTGAAGATTGCCGTGTGATCGCGTGAGACCTCCTTCAATTGAGTCATGTACTTGATCATGCGCGGCATTGTCACATGTTCCTGCTTGGTTTGGATGAGTGCCTGCTGTTGTGGATTCCACCGTTGGAACGGAAAGCTCCCGTCCTCCATGATGATGCCGTGATCCCTGGCCACTGTCCAGAGTTGATCCTTCTGATCGGCTTTGGAAAGCTTGAGCACCCTGTCCTCCATCATCAAGGCCAGGTCCTGGAAGAGTCTGATGCGTAGCGGGACATAATCCGTCTGTGCTTCCACTGGCAGTTTTTGCTGCTTCATGTGCTGATGCCATTCTTTCGCTCTCAGCATCAGTTGGGGCAGTAGAGCTGGTTCTGCCGGCTGAAGAAAGAAGACGAATGAGTCTTGCTTTCGCATCAGTTGTTGATCTGCATCCAGTCGCAAGATCATCTGGCCCATGAGGCGCACCAGTTTGACCACTTCCATGTTGGGTTCTGGCTGTCCTTGACCGTGATTCCGCTTGGGTTTTTTTGGCTCTTTTTCTTCCTTGGTGTCCCTGGCATACCGATCTTGCAGGAGAAGAGGTCCCATCGCCTTGAAGGCCTCCAAGATCTCCGCGTCTCCCATTTGTTGATCCGGCAGCTCTGGTTGGGAGGCCATGTGTGAGCAATAGACCAGTTTGATAAAGGACCGGGCAGTGATGCTGTGCGTGGATTTGAACCAGATTGTCTCTCTGTTGCTGCTGTTCAGGAGTTGGGTCCATCTCGAACGGCAAGTTGAATACAAGTTCACAAAAGTTGCATTGGTGATCACTCAACATGTCGTTCAGAAAGAGTGGCAGCAGTTGTGGAAACAGCTCTGGAATCCAGGTGCATTCTGCTGCATGCATCGCCTTCACATGTTCACAAAGGACCGCTGGATGGAATGTGCCTCCACAAATCAGACACACAGTGCGAAAAAGATGACAAATACTGCTGTTCAGCCAAAGTTCAGTAAATCGTCTTTCAGTCAGGATCTGAAGAATGGCTTCAACTGTGGCATGAGTTTGAATGCCTGCAAGGAAACGTTCAGTCTCAATGATGTCAAAAGTCCACGGCAAGAAGAGGTGAATGTCCATCTTTTGCGCAAGCATGGAGAGCTGCCTGTATGCCAAACACACGTGAGCAAGTCCCCCGGCAGTTGTTTGTGGATTGCAAATGCAATGTCCATCAATCTGTCCAACTTGAAGCATGAGAGTGACCATGGTCTGAGTCTTCGTCCAGCGTTCAGAGTGAACAGATTGGAGATGGAGAGCAAGATCTTGTTGACGCTCGAACCTAACCCCGCAAAGCTGGCAGTGCAGTGTGAGAGAAAGGCGTTGCATCGGTGCACTTCTAAGTTGATGCATGGTCCCATGTGTGATGATCTGTTGCCAGGTTGAGGCAACTGGCAGTTCTTCCATCGGCTTGGCGGCTTGGAAGGCTGAGCAAGCATTGTCCTCTGGTGATATGCTGCCTGACGGCAGATTTATCTGTGAAACAGGATAAACAGTGCGCGCAGACTGGATCTGCTCCCAGCATGTCCCTACTTGGCAACCAATCATGAATTTCCAGCCGATGATCATTGTACAAATGATTGTGCAGCGCCTGCATATCATCATACTGTTGTCTGCAAATTTCACATCGAAGGAGAATGTCATCATGAGCAGGAGCAGGACCTGTCGACTTGAAATTCACCAAGATCAAGGCAATCTGAGTCCAGAATGGACATTGGTGCTGGCGCAAAAAATGTTTCTGGCAAAATGCACAGGGTGTATTGGATGCTTGAGAGTGTCCAAGTTGTGCTGCTTTGGCAAAAACGTTGGCTGCATATTGACCATGTTGGCACCTGATGTGCATGTTCAATTCCTGTATCCTGGAAAAATAGACTCCACAGAGAATGCAGTAGTGGCTCAAGTCTGCATGCGCCTGCACGAGGTCTCTCAGCGGAGACCAGGTGCCCTGTTCAATGGCAAAGAGCAATGGAGGTCCATAAGGCTTGCTCATCAGAATTGCCAAATCCTTGGATTGTAGCCCTGAGCTTTGAACTGCATCTGCATGGCCAGAGGCTAGAAAGTGTCTGTGCATCGCCTGACATGTGTTGCGTTCCAGGTGTATCATAAAGCTTCTCCAGGTGCTGAACGTGACATGACAGTGTGAACAGATGGGAAGTCCATGTTGTGCAAATGCAGCAATAGTAACCTGATGTGTACGAAGTTGTGTATATCCATGCACATTGGTTTGATGACGTCTGAGGTTGGGCAGTGAATCAAATGAAACAAAACACCATTGGCATGAAAAAGTGGGTTTTGGCGCCTCCTCCGTCATGGTGATGACAAGGTCCGATTGGGGATCCTGGGCGTCCCAAGCTGTATTGATCAAGTCTTTGAGACTGTGGAGATTCGTCCAGTCTACGGTGTGCAGGATGTCATGTGGCAACAATGCGGTAAGTCTCTGACACTGCATGTACTGCAGCTGTTCCACAGAGTGAAGCAGCATGGCAAAAGGATGCGGCAGCTGATGTTGCATGAGAAACTGTGCATTATTGGTACCTGTGATGTAGCTGTGATCTCCTGCCACCTTTCGAAGTGTGCTCATCATAAAAGTGGTCAATTTATACAAGCCAGTGAAGGTGATGTTGCTGGCAAACAAACCATAAGTAAGGGTGGAATAGATGCAAGATTTCCACAAACGCAGCTTGGTCCGTTGATGAATGTCGCGTGCACAGAGCCATTTGCGCAGTCTGGAGAAGGCAATGCGTGCAGCTTTCAAACGATGTTGCAGCGTCAAATTCTCTTGCATGTTGTAGGACATCTGAACACCCAAATAGCAGGCCGTGTTTTGAACTGGCAGTCTCGAGTGACTTCCATCTCCACGTGGAATGTTGACATAAAAACCATTGGGGCCTTTCTGTACAAGTCGATGCCGTAAATCACGATGGCTGGTGCCCCCAATGGAAATCAAAAGCACTGATTTGGCAAGTGAGATCCGGAGTCCATGATGTTCAATGGTGTCCAATAAAATGCCAAACTTTACAAGAGACTGCATGAGCTCCGTTGATGATCGAAAGATGGTGCCAGCATGAATATCGTCTGCAAAAATGGTTACAACTTGTTTGACCCAGTTCGTTCCCACTTTTTGTGCCAGAGTCTCGAACGTCTGATTTGTGAATGTGGTCCACAGGATTGGTGCTGCACGACAGCCCTGTCTGATGCCGCAGCGGGTTGGGGTTGCAACAAACTCATTATCGTGCATGGTGATGTAATGTGTATCTCTATGCCATTCACTGATAAGAGATACAATTTGCTGATCAATGGGGAGTGTTCGAAGGTAGCTGAAAAGTGGGTCTCTGGGAAGTTCATCGAAGGCACGTGAAATATCGAGGAAAAGTTGTAATCCTCCACAGACCTGGAGGGGTGCAACCCCAGCAGCGCGCTGATGGACATTGCGACGCTGGTTTCGCAGCAGAGTCCTTGTTTCATGACAATGCCTGGCAACCCTACGGATGGCATCTCCTGCAGAACGGCGTTCAATGTATGCAAATTGTGGCCAAGAAACTACAATGGGGTGCATATTTTGTTTGAATTTCCTGGTGAGAATACCTAGTACCGTCTTACCCAAAGGCTCCATTAAAGCAATGGCTCTCAGGTTAGCTAAGCAATGAGGAGGTTTATTGGGTTTGGAAAGGAATGAAATCCAGGCATCACGCCATTGAGCAGGGATGAAAATATTGTCAGGAGTCCACCAACTTTGAAGCCACTGGTAAAGGAGAATTGCAGTAACATCAGAAACGTTTTTCCACAGGATGCCAGGTAAAAACGGAGGTGCAACTGATTTCACTGCCGGCAGTCGTGCAATTTCAGCTGATAGTTCAGCAACAGTGAAAGGTATCTGAAGGATGGGTGCATGTGATGTAAGCTGCATTGTAGGTCCATCCCAGTGAGTGCTGATGTATTCCTGAGTCAATGTTCTGGCATCCCAGGGTGATGCAGGTGTACCATCTTCACTTCTCAATCGAATTTTCTTTCTTGGTTGTTTTGGGGAAAAACGATTAATTATTTGATGCATCTTGAAACTGTCATGAGTCAAGGCAGCCTGATCCACTTCGCGAAGGAGCTCCTGCAATTGTTGTTTCTTGTAAATTTTGATCTGTTTTTGATGTATCTTTTTGCAAAGGTGAAATTTGGTAATGTGAAACCATGTAGAAAAACAGGTTTGTAATGTGGGAATATCAAACTTAAGATACTGACGTCGATGCTTCCACTTGGTGTCGATGATATGGGTGGAGGTTTCATGAGGTCTCTCAGATCGAGGTTTGGGAAACAGTTGTTGAAAAACTGGTTTGATTGAATTATGAAGTTCATCCACAATAGTATCAGAAGTAAAAAGGTGAGAGTTGAATGTGGAAATATTTTCTTTCATGGTGTCAACGAGGGAAGACCACTGATCAGTGTGGTTATGCCAAGCTTCACGACACTGCATGCGTTGTTTGTAGGAGCATGTTTGGAGACCAGCTGCTTTGGTGAAAAAGAATGGAATTTTTCGAACTGTACACATCATTGGAATATGCATGGCACCTCCTGTTGGGAGAAAGTCAGCATCTGGAAAAAATTTAATTTGTTTGGCAGGGCCATCACTATCTGCATGCCGCATGAGGAAAAAATCGATCCTAGATGCATTGATTCCATTGCAGAAGGTCGGTGGTGCCTTGGCAGTCCAGCTATTGAGTGCCGTTAAATCAAAACGATGCAAAAGGTCATGAAATCGCGTGGCATCTCGATGAATGGAACCTGTCTGGCGTCTGTGCATCCAATAGAAATCAGAAGTGCCAACATGATGTCCATCCTTACCAAGCTGACAGTTGAAATGACCAGTGATAAGTAAGGTGTTCCGATTAGGAATCTGGCAGAGATGTTTTTCGAGTGAATTCCAAAATAAAGAGCGTTTATTTTTATTGGTGAGACTGTGATTGTCGACAAACTGATAACAACAAATGAGATCAAATGCCCTAGCCATGTAATGAATACGGAGATGAAGGAGTCGTCCAATTATGATCTCAGTAAGTCCAATGGCAGTGTCAGGGGCAACATTCTTATTTATTAGGATCAAAATGCCATCGCTTCTGTCATGTTCAGATCCGCTGTGGATTACATTCCAGAGAGGCAATTGCCAGTCCGCACAAAAACTCCAACGCGTCTCCGTCAGCACAATCACGTCGGCCTCTTTGTTCAGAGCCCAGCATTGGATCTCAGTAAAGCGATCAGCTGCTAGTCCACCAACATTCACGTGCAAAACATTGAGACGATTTTGTGGAGAGATTCTGCTGTGTGTTGCTTCAGGATTTTTGGTTCTCTGAGAATGTGCTTTTGAACATCTGTGTCTGATCTGATCTGGAAAGTCATCGAGGGACAGATGTTGTCCTCGATACCAGGCATATCCATCATGTTGCGCACGTCGGCACGCCCTCTGGATGCTTCTTTTTGCTACTCCGCGCTTGCCAGATAGAGGAAGTTGGCAATTGGCTGAGCCGAAGCCCACTTTCGGCACATTGTCTTGTGGTTTCACTGGACTGATTTGTTGCAAGTCAATGGCATTGAAATCAGTTCTCATCCTCCTCCAAGACCAAGGAAGATAACCCTCACCCTGGTGGTCATGTGGAACATAGGGTTCGAGATCCGGCTGCATGCTTGAAAAATCAAAGCTAGTTGCTTGCAAATCTCGGCTGTAGATAACCACCCCCGGAATTGGGACCGGGTTGCACTCCCACCACTGTGAGAGATATAGAAGCCCCAAAAAATATCTGCACAGCATGGATCTGTAGAATTGTAGCTGACCGCAAGGGAAACGTTGTCCAGCAGGCGGCAGCAACTGCAATTTCAGAAAAGTGCAAGCTGTATAACACTCAAGAGTCCTTCCAAATGAAGTGTTGCAGATGATTGTAGTGAAATGAAAAACTCAACAAGGCCAGTGGCGAAGGAGAGGAGCCAACCCTCGTGCAGCAATGGCAGCAACCACGTGGAACGGAGCAGGGCTGACGGCCGAGCTAGAGTATTTCACTCTTGGGGGCACTACTCGTGAGTGCAAAGGGCTTGTGTGTGTGTGTGTCAAGCTCTGTACCAAAGAGTTCCTCACTTTCTTGCGACTGATTCCAACCAACTAGTTTTCAACTGCTTTCCACCATAAATTTTGGATACCGTTGCATTTTAATTCATAGCAGGGGGCACAAGGACCTTTGGTGAGTCTTGTGCCAATGAAGACACTCACCTTAGGTTGTGAAAACGTACCTGCATGATGCACCTGGATGACATACCCAATATGTTGGAGTCATAGCTGGTGGTCATATTCGTATCTGTTAGTACTTTATGGGATCAGGCTAACCCAAGAACCTGCATGCCGTCATTCAGTCATTTCATGATCACGTTTGATTGAGTCGTATTGGTTTCTCTTTTAAACAACCTGACATTCAAATGTCAACGGATAAGCTTGGCCTTTTTAACTCGGTATGGCCGAGTGATGCCTTCAAGCTACCATGAGGTAATCAGACTTTGCATTCATGAAAAGAGACCGTCTTTCATGACTTCGCAAGTGTGTATTTCGGCCGTGGGATCTGTCAAAGTCCGGTCGTGATCCTGGAATTCCAGGCGTCGTATCTCCCCTGGGGGTGCGAGAATCCACAAGTGAATTTGACTCTTGAATTCAGCCACGGTGGCTCATTGCAATGATTGAACGTGTGTCTCTGACACAAAGCGTGCATTTGAGAGAATAGATCCCGGTATGCTATCCGGCAAAAATAGCTTGAATCCACTGAGTTTGAACTTGAATTTGACTTTTGACAATTTTGGCGACTGATAGTCACCAATAAGATGAATTTTCTGAATTCCACACTTGAAGCCTCAGCATTGAATTCCAAATGGATGAATTGTGTTTGTACACATGAATGCCTTTTGGTGTACAGTTGAGCAAGCAACAATACGTTATCATTTGTTAGTTGTCTAACTGATCAATCCTTGTACAGTTAGGAAGTTGTCATATTAGACAACACATTTTCCATTTTCCTTTCTCTAGATTTCTGAGCCATGTCGACTCCGGTGTATAATGTTTATTTTGTGGCCGGCAACGTGGACCCGACTCCACCTCGGCCACCCAAGGCACCGGCGAAGCCAGCAGTAAGACTGGCATTGACACCACAGGCTCCTCCAGCAACTCCGGTAGTAGCCCCAGCCGCAATTCCAGGAACGATCTCCGTACCTCGTCGACCGTCAGCAGTCCAACCTCAGGTGCCGGTTGGAACAGATGATGACAAACAGGAAAGACGCACAACATCAAGTTGCTCCAGATCCAGAACAAGACGTCGTCATCGAGCATCCCATCACCGTCACCATCATCGTGATCACCATTCTCCGAGGTCCACTTCGAGATCTGAAAGAGGTAGGTCAGTTAGAACGGCTCGTTCTTCTTTCTCTCAAGCTCTCCGTCCTCCACCAGGTCAATGGGACATTCATACTGGTCTTTGGGACCCGTATGTTGGAAACATTCCTCCCAGAGCGCATGTTCCTCCTCCCAGAGTTCCTGCTCCTCCTCCCTTGAGACCGTTTTCAGCCTTCCCTCTATTAGATCGCTCAGGACGTCACGAAATGACACCAACCAGTCAGCCAGTCACTCCGAACCAGGCAAATATTCGATCTTGGTTAAAAAATCATCAAGATGATGACTACCCGATGATGGACAGTATGGTGAAATTCGTTGCACAAATTCTGGACTCCACCAGGTATACTCCTGATCATTTGTCCACAATGAAGTTGCTTGTTTATGAC